AGAATTCCTTTCTTTCTGTCTTCAGTTTGATGAACATGACTTTCTACTGATGCCTAGTCTCAAAATGAAAGATACCAATTTTGATAGTGACTAAAGCAGAAAGCCTGTATTTAATCCATTGTTTTTCCAATAAATAATAGAAATATTTCTGAACATCATATGTTGTATTCATATTTCATGGAAATAAAATTAATATTCCTGTTTTATTGGCAAATTTGAGGTGTATGTTTATAGGATTAAAAAATTTTTAATAAAGATAATTATAAATCTAGAAATAACTTACATTTTAAAATAAATGGTTATAGTCATTGAAGATATCTTAGTTTTGTTGTATACTGGCAGTACTTTCTTTTTGTAACCAAAAGTCTCAATGAACCTAAAATTTAGGCAGTGTTGCTAAGAATTAGGATACCTAACATCAAAAACAATTTAGGACTATTTGGTTTGGCAGTTACTAAATGTTTCTTCATTGTGAAATTGAAAATATGCAGCAAAGAGGCAGAATATAGTATTTTAGTACCTGTGTCTCTAATAACTAAGCATGGAATCAGATAAAAAAAACTTTCTGGCCTTGGTTTTTTTGTTTTTATGTTTTATTTTCCTTTCCATCCAGGAAGTAGAATTAATTTGTCAAGACTTTTCCTTAGGAAAAAAAAGCTGATTTAGGCCTTTTGGGTGTGATTTGCTTGAGGCCATGTAAGAAGTAGTCTCATCTGAAAGAATTAGAACTTTGGCACTCTAAATTTGAAGTGTTAATTTAGAGCAGTGTCATTTGAACTTGATTCATGCAGTGTGAACCATTTTCAAATTGAAACTATGAAAGCAAATGGTATTCCATAAGTAAATAAAACAGGATTCTGGTTGGCATGGGAGGGAATATTCTCATGCTGGCCCCCAAGCTACTCATTTTGCTAAATTAGAAAATATAATCAGGAAAACCCTTGTCCACACTTATTTGCCATACAAATGAATATTTTAAAATGGCAAGTGATTGAGAAGTGATTTCACGCTGAGCAGACCATTGCCGTCCTCAATGCTTAGTTGATGTCCCTGTCTCAGTTGCCAGCTCTCCTTTGGAAGTTGCTTAAGTGTTACTTTTAAAGCCTAGAGTTTCTTCTATCTGAATTATTATTATCTTTGTTTGACAAAGGGTTTCTTTGTGTTGGTCTGGTACTTGCTTTGTAGACTAGGATGGCCTTGAACTCATAGAGATCTGCCTGTTTCTGCCTCCTGAGTACTGGGATTAAAGGTGTGTACCACCATGCTCTGCCAAAATAAAGTACTCCTCCCACCCCCAAGACAGGGTTTCTCTGTGTAGCCTTGGCTGTCCTGGACTTGCTTTTTAAACCACGGTGGCCTCAAATTCCCAGAACTCCATCTGCGTCTGTTTCCCTGAGCACTGAGATTATAGACTGCACCACATGGTGCTTCTCTATTTTATACAAGTAACGAAAGCACTTTACTTTCTTTGCAGAATTACTCCATGTCTGTGTATCTTGTACGACAGCTCACATCAGCCATGTTATTACAGAGATTAAAAATGAAAGGTATTAGAAATCCTGATCATTCCAGAGCACTAAGTAAGTTAATGTTTATAAGTAATGTTTATACATACCTAACAACAAACAGTAATATTAATCACTAATATATACATTTGTATACGTATACCACATGTGTATGTGTGTGTATATATATATTTATAGAATATATATTAGTTCATAGGTATGTAACTTGTGTTTGTTATCTAGTAGAAGAAATCTCAGACATGTTAACACATTGTTTTCAGTTGGCAGAAGAAATATTGAATGTATGTTTTCTGTTTACAAATTTAGCAGTTGTTGGAAACAACCAATTCAGTTTAATGAAAATGTAATGAATATATGATAGAAAGCATTAATGCTCAGGCCTCTGCTCCATTCCATATTCCCCTTCTGTTTTGTTAAATCCTAAAACAATTTTTTTGTTTGTAACTGTTCCTTTCCAATGGCCTTATTTTTCAAAAGAAATCTTAAATATTCAGTTAAATATGTTATATAGTTTACCAGTTGGTCATTCTTTAATATCATAATGGTGATATGGTTGTGTTTTTACTACAATAATACTCAACATTCTGTGCTTCTTCACCTGTTCAAAGGGCTTAGGAACTTTTCAAATGTTCTTCTTTAACATCACTATTAATTTTAATTTTTTTTTACTACCATTTTCTTCTTTTTACAGTTAAAGAAAAACTTACTGCAGATCCTGATAGTGAAATTGCTACAACTAGTCTTCGAGTGTCTTTGATGTGCCCTGTAAGTAAAGTGACAAAGCATTCTGGCCAGTTTTGCTTTTCATAAATGACTAATTGTTGTATAAAAGAAAGGGTGGGATGAATGAAGGAATATTTTGATAGAATTCTAAACTTTTATCTTTTTTTTTTAACTTTTATCTTTTTTTATTTAGGTATCTTCATGAGTAACTGTTAAGGCTTTTTTGAATTCTTTGAGCAATTTTGAAGCAATAATCTACAAGATTGTTATATCAGAGAAAAAAGCCTTAGGCTCAGAAAACCTGTCATAAGCAGTGCTATAAATAATGCAGTTTAGTAAGAGCTGCTTTTGTCAGAGTACATGTAATACTGTAAATAGCAGTAACATTACTGGAGTCCGATAAATGCTAACTGTGGTGGTCTTGATTTAATGAGTTAGGATGTATGAGCTGTCTTTGCAGTGTACTTTTAAATTACACAAAAAAATTTATTTCATATATTGTTACATAGAGACTTGGGTGAGAAATCGTTCTGCAGATTTGATATCCTTCTGTGTAATATGTGGTTGGCACTGAGCTGACTGAGAGAAAGTAGACAGTCTAGAAAGAGGACATCCATGAAAAAGTGGCAGACTATACCGAATGGTAAATAAAGAGGTGGAGGAAGGTCAGGAACTATTTTGAAATTGGTGTGTAGAAGAAAGCCTTTTAAAGCTGAGGACTGGCCAGGTGTGACGGTGAACACCTGTAATCCCAGCACTTAGGGAGGCAGAGGCAGGAGGATCTCTGTGAGCTTGAGGCAGTAACGAGTCCAGGTCAGCCAAGGCTACACAGAAAAACCCTGTCTTGAAAAACCAATCAATCAGTCAATCAATAGACCTTTATGAGAATTATAAATTTCTAGCGTAGTTTTGGATGACATTTGGTAAGCATCCAACGCTACTTGTGGGACATCTGCTCTTTAAATTTAATGGTGAGAAAGTAATATAATGGAGGAAGAGAAGAAAATAATTCCTGAGTTTTTGTAACATGTGTAAGTGTTCCAACAAGCCCTGAGGGAGCCATTATTTTTATTTTGCCGATGAGGAAATTGGTCAATGTTGGGAAACCCAAATCACAGGGTTACTAGTAAATCAGGAATAAAGCTTTCATTCTGATAATTATTCCAATTTTGTTTTTTAGTAATTGCTGCTAGATTGGGCTAAAATACCTGTGTACTGGTTTTTAGTAGAAATGCTGTCTTGACAAATGTTTGTATGTGTGGTTGTTTTTTGGTTTTTCTTTCAGTCTTAGGCCAAGCCAGAGATCCTTCTGCCTCTGCCTCCCAAATGGCTGGGATTAAGGGTGTGTGTTACCACTGCCCAGCATTTTTTTTAGTTATCTTTATAAAGCTTTTTTTAAAATCATTATTAATTATTTGTGTGTGTGCATTTGGGCAGATATGTCTGCATGTGAGGCCAGAGGTCAATCTCAGGTGTTACTTCTTCCATAACTGTTTAGTTTGAGGCTTTGAACAAAGATCTTACCAGGGGATAATCTGACATGGGTGTGGGTGTCAGTGGACCTCGTCTCCAAGAATAAGCACACCAATATAAGTATAACTATATAAAAACATGCTGGAAACTGACACAATTTTATAATAGTAAAAAGTTTTCATGAATATTTTTAGTTTATGTCACACACAAGATTGATTTTTATTACATAAAGAGCACCTATAAATAAATTAACAAGTTTATTGATCACGTGTAAATGAGTAAAGGGTATGTCTAGAGAATTCTTAGAAATACAAATAGCTCTTTAAGGTAAAAGAATAGCTTCAATTCACACTGAAAGTAAGAGAAATATAGTTCACATCTGCCTTGGGATATTTCTCTCCAGCCGGCTTGGAGAAAAGCAGGCAAGCATTCATTGACACTGCTGTTAATGGTGAGTGGAATAACACATAATAATGTGTATGAATTTATAGATCAGTAGATCCCTGCTTAAGGTACTTGTCATTGTTCAAAGACCACAACAGTTTCTCTTTGAGGGGAGCCCTTCTCCCCTGCTGGGAGTGCAAACTTGTACAACCACTGTGGAAATCAATCTGGTGCTTTCTGAAATCAAGATCTGATCATAAACCCAAAAGATGCCCCACTATTCAATAAGGACATTTGCTCAGATATGTTCATAGCAGCTTTATTTGTAGTATCTAGAATCTGGAAACAACCTAAATGTCCCTCAACAGATGAATGGATACAGAAAGTCTGGCACATTCACACAATGGAATACTACTCAGCTATCCAAAACAAGGAAATCATGAAATATGCAGGCAAATGGATGACACTAGAAAAGATCATCCTAAGTGAGATAACACTGAAACAGAAAGACAGGCCTGGTATACACTCACTTAATAAGCACATATTAGCCATATAATATAGGATAGCCACACTAGAATCTTTAGACTTAAAGAAGCTAAACACTAAGGAGGACCCTAGAGAGGATGCTTAAATTCTCATTTAGAATGGCAAACAGGATAGACACTAGAAGAGTGGAAGACAGGAAACAGTATGGGAGCCTACTATAGACGGTCTTCTGAAAGGATTCACCCAACAGGGGATCAAAGCAGATGCTGAGACTCACAGCCAAACTGGGCAGAGTGCAGAGTCTTATGGAAGAAGAACTGGGAGGTAATAGAAGGACATGGAGGGGACAGGAGCCCCACAAGGAGACCAACAAACGTAAGGATCTGAGCCCAGGGGGTCCTGCAGAGATTGATGCAACAACCAAGGACCATGCATGGAGAGGACCTAGAGCCCCTGCTCAGATGTGGCCTATTGGCAGCTCAGTCTCCCTCTGAATCTCTGATTGAAGGATCAGGGACTGCCTCTATCATGATCTCAGTTGACTGCCCCTGATGATGTGGCCTTGCCAGGCCACAGAGGAAGAGGATCCTCGGAGACCTGATGAAACTTAACAAGCTGTGGGCAGATGGGGGGGGGGAGGAGAATTCTCCCATTCAGACTAGGGGAAGGGGATAAGGATGGGATGGAGGGAGGATGTGACTGGGAGAGTTGAGGAAGGGGCTTCAATCAGGATATATAATTAATAAATTGTGAAAAAAAATTTCCTTTGACCCCAGAAATTTTCATTTGGAGGTACTTATAACATCATAGTGATACAAGGTTGGAAACAAACAAAATGCCTATCACTAGTGCAGTAATTAAACCACAGCGTGTTTATATCATAGTAGCTTTTCAAGAAACATTTACTTTTTAAAATGTGTGCTTGGGTGTGGTGTGTGTGTGTGTAGTTTTTTTTTTTTTTTTTTTTTGTTCATTTGTTCACATAAGGGCAGGTGCCTGTGGAGGTGAGAGGCGTGTGGAACTGGAGTTACAGGTGGTTGTGAGCCACCTGATGAGGGTGCGGGGAAGTGAGCTCAGGTCCTCTTTACTGTTGTTATGTGCTCTGAACCATTGATCTAGCTCTTTAGCTTCCACTGGTTGCTTTTTATATATAGACTTGTGTGTAGTAGCTACCAAACTGGGTAACAAAGTAAGGTGTAGCATTTTGTACAACATGACACCATTTTTAAGAAAATAGTTTTTAAATCTAGACTTGATTTCTGCTTAGGACATTAGTAAAAGGGCATGGAAGAGATGTTTAGCTGATTTCCCTAATAGTGAGACTAGGGCCAGGTAGGAAGCAGTCTTGGGTGGGGATTTTTTATTGTTACTGTTTTTTGTTTTTGTGTGTGTGTGTATCTTGCCTTTGGACTTAGACAGTACTAATGTAAAATGATCTTTCAAAAATCTGAGACCACCCAAAAATAAATTAAAAAAAAAAAAAACTTTGAGAGTAAATGTAGTAAAAACCATGTTCAAAATAAAAAGACTTGTTGAAACTATTATAACACCCCTATTGTTCTGAAGGATTTCTTGTCCTATTTGAATTTGTTTCTGTGTTGTGTTTCCTATTATGAAGTTAGGAAAAATGAGGTTGACAATTCCATGCCGCGCAGTGACGTGTACACATCTGCAGTGTTTTGATGCTGCCCTTTATCTTCAAATGAATGAGAAGAAGCCTACCTGGATTTGTCCTGTCTGTGACAAAAAGGCTGCCTATGAAAGTCTGATATTAGATGGGTAAGTGCATCTTTGGGCAAGCGGTTAGACAGAGAAAGAAAAAGTGTGTGGGCCAACCAGCAAACAACAACACATCTTTAATCCCATCGTCAAGCAGGCAGAGGCAGGCAGATCTTAAGTTTAAGTCTAGTTAGGGCTGTATAGTTTGTTTCTCAAAACAAAAAAGCAATAAGTAGTAAGAAGGTAAATGGTAAATTCAGTCACATTACGTAGTTGCTAAGTTTAAAACTGTAATTTGTGTGTAGCTTATTCTGGTTCTAGAGTTATGTTCTAAATGCGATTTCTTACTGCCTATATTAGAATTTGGGGAAATAATATGAGCTGCTTTAATAAGTTCTTACTATTAAAGATTTTATTTTTAATTATATGTATTGTGTGCCTAAGTATGAGTGCATGCAACGGCAAGCCTAATTTCTATTCCTGTCCTTTGTATTTGTCTGCCAGTCCGCCTGCCTGACCACCCGTCCATCCATCCATCCATCAATCCATCTCTTTACCTTCCTCATAAAGTATAAAATAATTGAAGTTCCAAAAGTCTTTTTAAAGTCTAGCACTATTACTTTGTGTTCAGTGTATACTATTTTCTTATTTCATCTTTCACTTTTTATGACATGTATATACTTTTGATTGGTTTACAGGCTTTTCATGGAAATCCTCAATGACTGTTCTGATGTGGATGAGATCAAATTCCAAGAAGATGGTTCTTGGTGTCCCATGAGACCTAAGAAAGAAGCTATGAAAGTAGCCAGCCAGCCCTGTACAAAAATAGAAAGTATGTGCTGAATGGCAGGAGCCCCAAAGAAGTTCAAATTATGAAACATTAATTTTAACCACTAGGACTATATGTAGAATTTAGTTTGTTAACTTTATCTTTGAACTATCCATTCTTTCTCAGTCATATATATATGACTGAGTATGAAGTATGAAGTATGAAGCCTGGCTGGGTGGCAATGGGTCACTCTTGTGGAATACCAGTGCCCTAGAGGCAGAGACAGGAATCCCTAAGACAGGTTGTTCCTCTACCTGTGGGATGTGACCCCATTTCAACAGGGGTCACCCATTATCAGAAATTACATATTTATATTATAATTCATTTCTGTAACAAAATTACAGTATGAAATAGCAATAAAAATTTTATAGTTAGAGATCACTACAACAAGAGGAACTGTATTAAAGAGTTGTAGCACTAGGAAGGTTGGGAAACACTAAGCTATACTAAGAACCAAATTGCTTCAGTGAGACCTTGCCTGAGTAGTGAAGTGGTAAGATGCTTGATATTAACCTCTGTTCTTCACATGCATGCTTACATATGTGTAGACATACATATGCATGCATGTGTATTGTGTAAACACACAAGAAACTAAAAGAATGGTTAGAAATTGTTTTGTGTATCTGTACAGAGCCCAGTGTCTGTATCACTTATTAATCAGTGAGGAGACAGTGCCCTGAATTAGTTGTTCCTGAACAAATTTTTCCCTTCATTGGTGGAGGGATTTTATAGCTTTAGTTACCCAGCGTATGTTCTTGGTTTTAATTCCCTGTACTCATCTGTACTGAGAGGACGCACTAACGAAGTTTGAGAAATGGAAATCTATGTGCACGTACAACCTCTGAATTAGTTGCATTTGACTTTTCCCTGGCTTTGTTGAAGCTCAAAAATGCAAAAACTGATTTTCTGAGTAAGAAAAGAAAACAAAGAATTTCCAGCAATATTAATTATTCTCTTGTGGTTGTCACAGAACTCCAGAGGTCACATTTTCAGGGTTACCCTCATTAGTGTAAAATTGTGGGCAGGCTCAGTTTTATTGATTACTGTTTGATACTTTTTCACAATGAACTAGCTCTCATTTTTGACAGATAATAGAGAAAAATGTTACATAACAGGATTAAGTATGTTTGTCTGTATAAACAGAATGGGTGATGACTAGATGGTTTCTGTCAGGAACTTAGGTAATCAGTTTGGGACTTTTTTTTTTTTTAATGAGCAAGATTGCTACAATTGAAATATCTGATTCTGGTTCATGGTGCAAATATGCAGCTACAGAAACTGCATGCTCTTGACACCTAGCCTCATACTTAATAGTGCACAGGTATATGATGACATGCACAGCTGGACATAGAGTACACTCTTATCCCCTGTCATAAAACCAGTTCCCTAACCCTAAAGGTCTGTCTGTACAGTGATTGCTAACCTAGAATGGCAGCATGAGCCCACCCCAGGCTCTGTACTGGTCACACTAGAGAGAATAAGTGTGCTTTGAAAGAGGCTTCTGACCTTTGTCAGGAATGGCTCTGGCTGTTTGCCCATAAACGTTGAACAGACAAGTTAAGGAATCTGTCCCTCTTAGAGAAAAATTGATTCCCTGGCTGTGTATTGTCGTGTGTGTGTGTGTGTGTACGTGTGTGTACATACAGACAGACATTTACATTTATATATAGATATTTAAGACTTCTATAGTTGGTTTGTATTATAGCTTTGATATTTCTCGTCTTCCTGTTTATCTATATCCAGGTTCAAGTGTCTTTAGTAAACCTTGTTCAGTGACTGTAGCCAGTGATGCAAGCAAGAAGAAGATAGATGTTATTGATCTAACAATAGAGAGTTCTTCTGATGAAGATGAAGGCCCTCCTGCCAAAAGGAAATGCATCTTTATGTCTGAAACACAAAGCAGTCCAACCAAAGGGTTTGTCAATTTATAGTTCACTATTGTTCATTCCACTTAAAACCAGTTGTTCTTAGGATGATTTTAAAAGATGTCTGTGAGAAGTGACTACAGAAGGCAATTTTCATCTGCTTTGGTAGAGCTGAAATATTTTCAAGTAGGCACATTATTCACAGGAAATCAAATTTTGGTGAAAATATTCAGCATGTCTGGAAAGTGGGAGTTTTAATTATTTTTACCTTGTGTTTTATTCTTGAACCTGCTCACAAGCAGATTTGGCATCTCAGTCCAGTGTAAGGAAGTTGGTATAATGGAATGTAGATACAGGAGGCTTGTAAGGACAGATCCATTTCTGGCACTTGTATACTTGTTGGATGATTTTGATTATGATCCTTAACTTTGACCAACTTCTTGTTCTGTTAAAATGAGGTAAAATAATGCCTGATTCATAGGATCATTGCTGGGATTCCATGAGATTATAAAACTTGGCCACCGTGTCAGGAATGTGGTAGTTCCCTAATGAAAATTCATCTTTTTTCTCTTCCACTTTACAGAGCAAAATGTGGGCAAGTAGATGGGTGTATCTTATCATGTGCTCCCTCTGAATGATGCACAGTAGCTATTGGACCTTTAAGACAAGACAGATTGGAGAGTTCAGTAACAGATAGCCATAAATTGTTGTGATAACCCATATTTACATTCTCAAGATTTGGGTGTGCTAGTCTCATCTCTGTCCTTAGTTTATTTAGTATTTTATTGTATATATTTTTAATAACAAATTTGCTCATTTTAAGTATATGTCATAAAATTGTATGTTTATCATTCCAAGTCAGTTTTAGCATATTTTCAATGTGAAAAAATGCTCTTACTCACTTGTTTGTTATCTTGCATCCCCTAGATGTTGGCAACATCACTTTTCTATTAAATTTCTGAATTTGCCTGTTCTGGACATTATTTATAAATGAATTATATTCTGAGTATACTTCAGATTTCTTTTTGTAATTCTTTATAGGTACTTGAAATACCTTTTACTAGCTACTTTTTAGATTTAAAACTTTGGAGCTGATTTCTACACTATTAAAGCTCTTGTTCAAAGTCAGGTATGGTAACTAATTCCTGTGATGTCAGCACTTTAGAGGCTGAGCAGGTAGATCACCGTGAGTCTAAGACCAAGCTAGGCGCCTACCTCAAAAGGAAAACCCGAAAATTCTATTCTATTCCAGGTAAAATTTATATATCACAGTAGGAGTATGGGCTCATGTTTTCTTTTACCTCTTTAGTTAGAATAAATTTTTATTTTTAGTGAGAAAAAGTAAGGAAAATAGTTTAGTAGGTTTTTTTTTTTTTTTTTCTGATGTGCTGATTATTACTGTTTTGGGACAGTTAGTTTGAAACTTCTGAAAATCAAATGATAGATAAAGATACAATTTTGAAGTGCTTACTAAAGTTTAGAGTCAAGACAATGGATGCTTAGGCATTTCTAGATTTTATGTTATCATTTATAATATAATCAATGTTTTAGAATTAAAAAAGAGTTCATACTTTTCTACTTACCATTTTTTGTCTGAGAAATTTTTGTGTGATCCCAGAAAATCAAACATTTACTGATGATAAATCATAAACTTACTGGAAACAGTTCTTTAGTATATATACATCTTTTCCATTTATTAAGAGATAGGTGTGCCTACTTTTACATAAAAAGGATTAAATGGGTGGCTAGGAAGATGGCTCAGTGGGTAAAATGCTTGCTGTACAAAGTATGCATCTGAATTTAAGTCCCCATATAAAAATGACCTGTGCGTCTGTGACTGCTTTAGGAGGAACTGACATGCAGATCCCAGAGGCTTGGTGGCCATCCAGTCTGGCTGAATCAGTGACCTCCAGGTTCAGTGAGAGCCTCTCTCAAAAAGAAGATGGAAATGTGACTAAAGAATACATCTAGATTACCGCTTGTGGCCCTCAGTTACATACGGGGTCACACATATGTGCACACGTTGAGTTTTGGTATTTGATGTTGCAGGTCATAGAACATCATCAGTGCTACGAATACTCATTTATGTAAACACATGGTATGAAATTATATACATATGTTAAGGAACAGTTCAGAAATTTTTGGAGAATTTTTCCTAATTTTTCTCAAATTCATCTAATGATTTTTTTAAAAATGAATCTCGTGGGAGCAACTCTAAAAGAAATATTTGAAGTCAAACATTGTAACAATACTATCCAAAGATATTATCAATTGATACATAATGAGGAATAGGGCTATAAGAAATGGACCTTTACTTTTCCTAATTTACTCTGTTTACTGTATTCCTAAAACAGTACAGTTTATATGTACAGTAGAAACATGACAGGTCATAGTAGTGATGAATCTGAGCCAGGGCATTTAAGGTAGCCTCGGTTGGCATGGCGTAACTGCACGTGCAGTGCAAAATGTGTATGTGTGTTAAGCAAGGCTGAAATGAAGTCACATGATGCAGCATGTATGAGTGTTGTCAGAAACACCTTGAATTCATTATGCTTTCAATTACAAATTTAATTTCTGTTTTTACACATTCCGAACCTTTTTCCTGTACCCCATTAGGAACATTACCGAGAATTCAAGAAACTGTATTTTAGAATATGAGGAAAGTTGAGTCACAGTTCTTAGAGTTCATATCAAGTGTGGTAGAGAATTATATAGTAAGTACAGTGCTTGCTGTCATACACAAAGGTCTACCATAAGTGTCCTGTCTCTATGTTAACCGGTACTTGAGGATGACCTGAAACTGGAGGAGTGCCACATACATAGCTAACAAAAGTTCAACATGACCACAGCATGCAGAAGAATAGAGATAGTTTATACTTGTGGTCACATTAAGGAGGTAGATGTTAAGACTGTTTAGAAAGACTGTTTAGATGGGAAAGAAAAGTACTTAACACTGCCAAATCTAACATGGAAATTTGTAATTATATCAAGTACATTTGAAAGTTTACATTTTAAAAGTCTTTATAAATTTCATCTGTTTCCATAAAGTTGACATAATCCTTAATACCTAAATCATATTTGCACATTAACACATAAACAGAAGATAAAAGTGAAAATTCTGAGCTCAGTCATAGGAAGTTAGTAATTATATTTTTAAAATGACATTCACTACAACTAAGTAGAGTTTATTCTAGGAGTTCTTTAGTATTGATGAATTGGTGTTATCATAAGGACATTAATGACTGGTTTTGTCATAAGGACAACTATCTAGTTATCCTAATAAATGCTTTAAAAGTGTTCAGTAAATGTCTCATGATTGAAATTTCAATGCCTTTAAATATCTGACTTCACTTAATGATGATGGGCTCACTGCTTAAACTGAACACTTAATACACTGCATGCATATTAGCATACGTACCATACCATCTTGTTCTATTAGAGTGTATGTAGGTATATACTGTACCTAGTATTTTAGCTCGGGCTGATCGCTGAGAAATGCCCAGGAGTACAGCCTAGAGGAAGAAGCAGGAAAGTGAGTAGGAGAGCCCAGAATGCAGTGGACAAATGGATATCAGGACTGAAGGTGTTAAGTCAAGAAAGAGACTGTCTCGACTATTCTAATTCTCAAGAGAGAGCTGTTCACTGGCTAGAGGCTTACTCTTTGCATGACAATAGCAGTTTGGACCAGTAGAAGAAAGATAAGTGGGAAAACTTCCTGAGGACTTGGAGTTGAGGCTTTGTGTTAAAAATCTCATTTTCTGGGGCTTGGAGAGAAATGGCTTGGTGGTTTAGAGCACTTTTTGCTGTTACAGAGGACCTGAGTTCTGTTTCCAGCACCCACATGTTGGCTTACAACTGTTCATAATTCTACTTCTAGGTGTTGTGATGCCCTCTTTTGGCCCCCATGGACACAAGGTACTCATGTGGTGCACTTAACATGCAAGTAGCACACTGACACACTTAAAACAATTTTATGATACTATAATGTGAAAGTAAATTGCCAGGACATTGCTGCTATATAATAAACATTAGAATTTAGATCATGTTTTATACCAAATAATATGGAAACCTTACTTGTTCTATAGTTAGGTGTTTGAAAATGCATTAAGAGTTTTCATTCATATACTTAAGTTCACTCTGGGCTCTTGCTCTGATCATACAAGCAGAAAAGAAACTGGGATTTTCAGCAACTATTACTGATCCCCAGTTGAGAGAGACACATATTTAATACCCTTACTGTTTGTTCCCTACTTCTGGAGCAGCTCATCTTTTGCTTTATGTGTACATATGCTTGTGTGTATATTTATGAATACTATGAGGAAATGAGTAACATATTAAAGCTTGAAAAATTATCTTACTAAATTTTAGTGTCAGAATTTACACTGTTTAAATAGTAATTTATGCCAGAGCCCTTTAATGCAGCTTTATAACTTCTGTCTGAAGAGACTTGTATGATATAAGCATATAGAAAACTTTCAGCTTAACCTTACATCATGCTCTGTCCCAGTTCTTGAGAGCTTGCGTCGCTTTTATTGTTGTTGATAAACTAGAATGTTGGATTTATAGTAATAGTTGCAAGGGTCAAGCAGTAGGAATTAATCAGCACTGAATCGTTTGTTTGTTTGTTTGTTTGTTTGTTTTCAGGCTTCCTCTGTATAGCCTTGGCTTTCTTAGACCTACCTTATGAGACCAGGCTGGCTTTGAACTTACAGTGATCTTCCTGCCTCTGCCTCCCTGAGTGCTAGTATTACAGGTGTGCACCACTGTGCCTGGTCTACCATTGAATATTTTAATATTTACAATCTCTAATGAGATCTTAATAATTTGATAATTTGTGTGCCCATTGGATTTGTATATTTTGACTCCACCTTTTTGGCATGGGAGAAACAAAATAAGTGTACATTAATTAGGTGTAACTATATGGACATATAACATAGGCTTGACTCTTAATTGTCAGTCAAGTGTGCAAGGAAGGAAAGGGAGTTTGGTGATTTTCCTGAGAATCAAATGAACAGTTCAGTTCAGGATCAAAATGAGAAAATCCCTAGGGAATTGTTACAGGAGAAGGAGGAGGAGGAGCTCTAGTGGACACAGCCATTGTCTCTTTTTCTTCAAGCTGTAAATTTTGGGGATAGTGGTAGTTACGAATTGAGCTTAGGACTTCTTACATGCTGAGCTGCACTCCTAGCTTCCTGAAATTATTCTTTCTTTTCATGACAGGGAACAGATAGTATATTAAGTAGATTGCTAAGTTGAATTTATTTATTACTATTTTTTTAATATGTAAAAATTTTTAAGTTGTTTGTGGAGGGGAGGAGTACATAGCAGAGTACCATTGAAGGCCAGAAGATGATATTAAGTCTTCTGGAGCTGGAGTTAGAAGTGATTGTGTACTGTCTAATGTGGGTGCTGAGGCCTGAATTGTAGGGTTTTTGCCATAAAAGTATATGCTGTTAAGCATTGAGCCATTGCATCAGTTCCTAAATAGGAATTTTTTAAATAAATTAAATACACACACACATTCTTGTGTTCATGGTTTGCTCAGCTTGCTTTCTTATAAAACCCAGAATCACCTGTCCAGAGCTAGCATTATCCACACAGTAGGCTTGTCCCTCCCGTATCATTAGTCAAGAAAATGGCACACAGGACAGTTCATTAGGTGAGTTTCTGTCTTCCCAGACCACTTTACTCTGTGTAGGTTGACAAAAACTAACCACGCCAGGTTTATGTTTTTGCCTTAAGTATATTGTGTTTCCTGGACCCCTACCTTGATCAGTTTTTATACAAGACATCTGAACTCTGACCTGATACTATGGCATTGCCATAATTAGCTGTACAATCTTGCATATATACTCAAGACAACTGTGTTTTCTTTGTTTCCAGTATTTCTGGTTTTGATAAAGAGATGTGGAGTAGCAGCTAGGCATTTTTAAATATCTTAATAATATCATGACACAAAGCCAGTTTTAGAAGGACCTTTGAGTCTAAGTAGATTCTAACAACTCAAGACTTTGACACTAAGTCAAGATTATAGAAGAGTTTCATGCAAATATGATAGAGTGTGTTTCAGCTGTGGGAATGGATGTCTACATACCCTGATTATTATCCTTGTCCCGCTTTGTCACCATGGTTTTCCTTTAAGTTTCTAAAGAATTTATGCTTTCTTTTTCTTGCCTTTTCTCTCTTTTTTTCCCCCCCTTCTATCTGACCCTCACTTTTGCCCCTCCCCTCCCCTCCGCGTCCCTGCTCCTGCTCCTGCTCCCATTTTGGTTGTTTTGTTTGTTTGGAAAAGAATTTAATTGAAATTCTCTGTCTCTGCCTCTCAAATGTGACTAGTGCTAGGATTACAAACTTTTGTTACCATGTCTAGTTTTATGTGGTGTTGGGGATTGATGCCAAGGTCTCATGCATGCCAGGCAGGTACTCTACCAGCTGTGGTACATTCCCAGCCCAAAGAATTGTGTTGTCTTCAACCTCATACTGGTTTTTCTTCAGTCTTGGTTTTTGAGTTGGTATTGGTTGGCAGCTGTGGGACGCTAACTTGAATATTTTCCTCCCTGTCTGTATCTCATAACTTGTTGCTAAGTTATCCATTCCCAGTATAAACAGTCCATAATGTTGTTTACTTTCTTAAATGTTTAAGATATTTCTCTTATAACATGCTAGTTGTTTTTCTAAGCTAAGAAAAAACTAGGGTATAGATGAATGTGAAATCCCGCTTCAAGCCGAGCCTTTCAAACTTAGGCCCAATTTTTAATAGCCTGCTTTTTAGAATTATAAAATCTTAATTAGAGACTATGCATAATTTTTATACACACTAAACTGTAAAGTTGTATGCTTGATTTGTATTTATAGTAACCTGAGTGACTCACTTCATAGGTATAGATCCTCTTACAGGGGTAGGTGGTATGCCATAGTAGTCAGCATTCTTATTTCTGGATATTGTGAAGATCTTAAATCCTGAGATTTGGTCATCTTGTCCTAATTTCCGATTGTATTGTTGTACCACCAAGCTGTAAATAGCTTTAGGATTGATTAATTCAGATCATTTCTACATTTCAAATCAAGTGATTGAATTTATAATTGAGACTGAACAAGCCTGTGTTAGTAGTTTCATACAGAAGTTCTAATTTAAAAACCTTTTTGTTTTTCAATTGTTTTTCAATTCTTTTTTGAGACTGCCTTTCACTAAGTAGTCTTGGCAGCCTTAGAGCTCACTATTGTAAATCATGCTGCTAGGGAATGCTGGGGGCACGTGCTTCTGTGCCCAGCAGTTAAGTCAGACCTTAACAGCACTCTGTTTTAGTGCCAAATGTCTTCATAGATAAGTTACGAGTATATGTATGTGTATGTGTGTATATATATATATATGTGTGTGTGTGTGTGTGTGTGTGTATATGTATATATATATATATGCTAGTGTACATTAGCATAAAATGTAAATAACATTTCTGTTTGTGAATTAAAGTATTCCTTTACGATGGTGGTTCTCAACGTTCTTAATGCTCTGACCCTTTAATGCAATTCCTCATGTTGTGATGACTGCAACCATAAAATTATTTTTGTTACTACTTGATAACTGTAATTTTGGTACTCTTATGAATTGTAATGTAAATGTCTGATATCCAGGATATCTGATATGTGACCCTTGTGAAAGGGTCACTCCTCACAGGTTGAGAACTGCTTTACAGTATATTTTAATTCCACCTTGCTTCTATGCCAACAACTAGTTTTGAGAACCAAGAGGTATTCATGTGAGAATGAAGGCTGCTAGGAAAGTTGAGAACAGAGTGTAGAAGAATTGTGTAGTGAATGACTGCCACACACTTGTGCTGAGACTTACTGAATGTATATCTGAGAGTGCCCAGTGGTTAAGCTCTTCTCTCCTTTGAACTAACAGCCAGATTATTTGTAATTTCCCATACTATTTAAAACAGGGTTCTCATGTATCAGCCATCTTCTGTAAGGGTGCCCAGTGTGACTTCTGTCGATCCTGCTGCTATTCCACCATCATTAACAGACTACTCAGTACCATTCCACCACACGCCAGTGTCAAGCATGTCATCAGATTTGCCAGGTATGTGAGAGTTTGTTTTGTTTGTTTTATTGCATCCTTTTTAATCTGTGAATGTATATTCTGATTTCAGCCATAAATGAGATTAGGGGGTTTTTTTGTTTTTGTTTTTTGTTTTGGGGGTGGGGGTGGTATGTGTCTTAAATGTGCCTGAACTTTATATTTTATAAAATTAATTTAAGTTTATGGAGAGCATACTTACATTAAGGCCTATATTTGAACAATATAAATCAATGTCTGGTTGTTAAATATTGAAAAACTTTTTTTTGCAGTTGATAAACTTAAATAGAATGGACCAGTTATTTTTAGAAAAGTTACTAGTTATTAAATGTTGTATAGCAGTTAGATACCTAAGAACTTCGGTTTGTACTTCTGTATTACTGTCAATGTACTTTTTTGTAATTAGTGATTGGATGTATAATTCTTATATAAGTAGTCATAATGTGCAGGTCTGGCATTGATGAATTTAATATTTTTATAGTATAAATTTAAGTAGAACACCAAGAATGGAGACGACAGTTTTCATAGATTCTGACATTCTTTGTAAACATCATAAATCTGAATCTTCTGAATCTGCAGGAGAACAAAGAAGAAATGATACTAATAACGAAGTGCAGCTTGGAACATCTTCTGATACTGTGCAACAGTGAATACAAAATAAACATAATTTGTTTTTATGGAGTTGAAAACAGCTTGATTATTTCAAGAAAACATACGTCTACCTGATTATTGCTAGTGCCATATTGTCAGGTGTGAATGGTGCTTAAAAGTCGTATGATTAAAATTTCAAAGTGCTAAAACCCTCACATATTTAACTATGTAGCATTTATGCTTTGTGAAGTTTATGGTTCAAGTAAGGAAAGACTGTGTGATTGTCAATGAGGGAACTAAAAGCAAATGATCAGTCTGCTGTATTAACAAAGCATTTAAAATTCAAACATTTCAACTTCATTAATGTTAATTAAAACACAAATTATATTGTCAGAATTTTTAATCGCACTTTTTTCAGTTATAAATGATAGAACATTTTAAATTGAAATACTTGAGGGCAAAAAACCTATCAATGTGTTACAGTTGAAACATGATAAAATAAGGAAATAACATTTTGCAAATAAGGCAGTAATATTTTACTCTTGATGAAACTATAAATAGTGTACCTAAGTGATAAAAATGTTTTTGATGATAGTCTACTCTTTAATTACTAGAAATAATTTTTAAATTACACAGAAATGTTTTTATTGAGGAATAGTTACATTAATCTCTCTTTGGATTTTGTGTGATGCTTGGAAGACAATCTTAAGATTTCAACCAAACTTTAGAAAAATGTTTATACATCTTATAAGTGCATTGTGTAAATTGTAGTATGTGTAATTATCTGTATGTGAGACATCAAAACAAATAGACCAAGTACATCTAAAAAGCTTTTCTAAATAGATTTTACATTTGCAGGGATACATGAAATGTACTGTAATGCTCTTTGCATTACAAGTTGAGTTGAAATAACCAATTTTGGAAGACATTGGCCCTCAGTGTACAGTATATAATGATATCTCTCAGAAACAGTTGTAATGTTTTATCAAACTTAAGTGTTTACTTAGAGTCATCAGGTGGCAACAGATGGACATTGAAAAGAATGAGCATTTTCAAATGATTTGTTTCAATTTGTGGTACATTTTCTGAAATGGTAATACTTTCTTTAGCTTTTGTTTAGCTTGTTATTAAAATAGAATGAATAACCTCCATTAAAGATGGCAAGGCAGACATGGTGACTCCTGCCTGTCATCCCTACAGATAGGAAGCAGAGGCAGGAGGTCTGAGTTCAGCCTGTCAGCCTGTGACAAAGCCAAACCAACAACAAAAATATTCAAAAGCAGGAGCTGAATCTAAAAGATGACTCTGGGTAAGAGCATTTACTGCAGAGGATCTGAGTTCATTTTATAGCACCCACATGACAGCTGACCAGCATCTTTAGCTACAGCTCCATGGTATCCAGTGCCCCCTCTTCTGACCTGTGTGGGTACCTATGCATATGTGCATGAGGATATGCACATACACACACACACGCTAAAAATATCTTTAAAAATGTAAAATCTATTGTAAAGTGAGCACATATGTTACACCACTTAGAACAAAACAACAGTGAATAAAATCTGCCCGATTTATTAAGTGATATTCCAATGGTCAGTGCTTGAAACCATTGCCTGTAAAACTCTCAGAAAGCATATAAAGCTAGCTAGGCTTGAATTGCTATTTAAAAGCAGAGAGATTTATTAAATAATTTAAAAGTGTTCTCTTTTAAATCTGTCACTTTCTGGTTATCATTTTAGTGGGTAAATCACTGCAGCAGTAGGTTTTGATTTGCTTTGTTCATCAGTTTAAACTGCTATATCATGTAGCTAGTAATATACTAATACATTTTAAAAGTGTTTAAAAATTGTTTCAGTAATTCCTTCTAAATGGCTGGGGTTACAGCTTGTTTAATGATAAGTGTTTAAAATACACTCATTTGTAAATAAAGAAATAATGAGGCTTTAGATTTTTTTAGTTAAAGTTATTAATAGTTTTTATTGAATGTCCATTATCTTTCTTACTAATCTCTATTTTTATAGTGATAAAGTATTATACTTTCACTCCATGTGGTTGGTCTATTAAATGCCAGCATATAGAAATTTATGGGAGCCAGATGGTGATGTACGCCTTTCATCTCAGCACTTGGGAAGCAGAGGCAGACAGATCTCTCTGAGTTGAAGCTAGCTTGGTCTACAGAGTGAATTCCAGGACAGCTAGGGCTACATAGAGAAACCCTGTCTCGAAAAACATAAAAACAAACAGACTACTGGAAGGTAAATGAAGGCATCCATGTAGGCATAGGGATATTCCAGGAATAAAAAAATAAAAATATATGGGACTGAACAGACATTGGCCTTTTTGTTTGTTTGTTTATAGTATGTATCTATGTCTTACTTTGAAACAATTTCACTGTGTAGCCCTGGCTGGCCTGTTAGAGAGATCTGCTTATATCTGCCTCCCAAGTGCTGGGCAACATTGCCCTAATTTAATGCCTGTACTCAGTATGTGTTTGTTTGTTTTTTTAATGTTTTAAAATAATTTAAAAGCATTTGATCACACAGGGAGGTCTTTAAGAATTTTGACTTTGAAAATTTTTGCTAGACTTTTCAGATATTTTTTTTCCTATAGCTTATTGTTACTTGAATACTTTTTTGAGGAAAACTTTTTTCACGTTCCTATTCACAGAGTGTAGTTGTAGAGTTCAAGTTCCTTGGTTTAGGACCTTGCATGAGCTGAGAACCTATTAGCTGTTAAACTAGCTTGTTAGTAAGTAGCGCTTCCAAGTGCGTGCTTTTTGCAGAGCATTATCCTGGGGGGGGGGGGGGGGGCAGATAGCTTCTGATGAAGTAACTATCTGTTAAGGAATTGGTATTTTTTGAGTAACCTAATGTGTTGTATTTCTGTAAAATAAATGTAAAGTATCTTAAGAACCTAAGTATGTTGTTTTTCAATGGTTGAAAGGTGATTATGATTTGTAATTATGTCCTTCTTGCTCTACTAACTGACAAAAAGAAAAAGATTTGGTTTTACTAGTCTGAAAAGTTTTTGGCCTGCTGCTTTTGAGTTGCTGGGAGGCAGTTTTTCTAGTTGTTTGGTCAAAAAATGTATTCATCTTTGGGTTTTAGATACATTACACATCACCAATTATGATTATAGAACTTCACTGTGGCAGAGAGGTGAGCATTTACCACAGATGTTTTCTGACTTATAAATGCACAATGATCTTGAGATATAATTCTTGTCTCCAAAATATGAGACAACTATTAACAAAGCATTTTTGTTTTAGGTTTGGATTTTCTTTCCCTTATTCCAGTTGATACCCAGGTATGTATCCTGAATTTAAGCAACTAATTTGTATTTGATTGTTGATTATGTCATACTAACTAAATATGACCAGTTGCATAAAATCAGGACAGTCAATTCTCATGTGGATGGAAAGGAAATACTACATAAATATCACAATTTTATTTTAAGGAATAAAATTACTGTTGTTAAACTTATTTATTGTTCTTATTACTTAAACTTTCTGTTTTTATGGACATAATCACTTGTTTTTTTTCTACAAGTCTCCAAGTCCTACAAGTGATTAGAATGAGTGAAAGCAATACTAAGTTTGTAAGCTATGATTTTACACAATAAAAACATTTACTTAAAACAGTCAGCTAAAGCTCATCTAATTTGGATCAGTGATTGAGATTGGATCATTGTTTAAAAGACAGAGTCAGACTTTGAAAAGGCTTCAGTTGAAAGTTGCGGTGGTGCTGCTCTCAATCAAAAGAAATTCTAGGATTATCACAACAGCAGAGGCAAAACACAGAAAGTGAAGGGACGGGGTGGAACAGCAAAAGAAAACACTTGAGGCACAGATGTTGCACCTAGGGGTAGCTGGAACAACTGATCCATCTCACCAGCTTCAGAATTGACTGACCGTAGATGCTGTGTGAGCCTCTTGTTTCAGTGTCTGCATCTGATTGCACAAACAGCACAGGACAGTTGAGCCCAAGATCTGTGTGGACTGAGCATTTTCTTATCAGCCTGACTTGACTTTGTTATATGAGTAAGACCTTACAGGGAAGTTACATATTTTTTTAGAATGTAAGGTCTTCGTGTTTAAGAGAATTGCATACTTTCATATGAACAGTGCTTTAGAAGAATAATCTTGGAACCTGTAGTTTTTATTTCATAGTTTTATTTAACATGCTTAGTGGGGGCCTGATTTGTTTGGTAACTTAGTAGGAGGGTGAGAGTGGAGCCTTATATTGACTATAGGATCCATAGGTTTCTCCTCTACATCATCATATTGTTCCACAATGCTTATTATTCGTGTACAGCTGTATACTTAAGGGATCTAGAGTAAAAGTTAAATGGCAGCAACCCAACTCATAAGTGTTCAAAGCAGCAGGACAGCAACATTTATTAGCATTTTTACAGATTAATGCTATGGTATAGGCAAAAACAAACTTGGATCTTGGATGGTAGCAGATTAAAATGCAACCATCTAGGCTTTTTATATTTTCATAAGTTGTACTATAATTGACTTGAATTTAGAGAATTTTTAATGCTTGGCAATTGCACTGTCAGAGCTTCCACAAATGTCCATTGAATTTCTTCATGTGTGGCATTAAGTTTATAGACAAACCAAGAGTTATTCATTCAAAAAAAACAACTTTCTTTGTTGAAAGGAAGCCTCACTTGGTCACAATGGATCACATCTTTAATCCCAGCACTTGAAAGGCAGAGGCAGGCGGATCTCTGTGAGTTCAAGGTCAGCTTGGTCTACATAGTGTCTTCCAAGAAAGCCAGAGCTACATAGTATGAGACCCTGTCTTTAAAAAAACAAAACTAAAAACCAGCCAACCAGTGAGTCAATCAATAAACAGGCAGCCTCAATTTGAATTGCAGTTCCAGCTGTTTCCTTTTTTATTGAACATCGCATACTCTTGACAGCTCAGTTTTGAGTTACTGTTCATAATTCATTGTCTCTAAGACGAATCTAAATGATAGGTAGGATGGGTAATATTGGGTGTTACTGAGTTTTTTTTTCTGTAGTCTGACTGAAGACAAACTTAGTAGCACTAGATATAATGTGTTAAAATCAGTGCAGTTGTGTTTCATGTAAAACATTCTACAGTGAAATATAAAATTACAGTTAGCTCTTAATCTACATTCTTACCATTTCTAGATTACTACACTCAGGTTTGTATTTGTATGTGAATCATCACCCAGATGGAAGGGGACTTGAAATACGGACTTTTGGAGAGGGATGTTAAGAAATAATAAATTGTGGTTATGTTCTTATTCTCTGAACATCCCATGGTAATTAGCTGCCATATATCTTCCAATTCAGAATGAATGTTGAGATTATTAATATGTATTGTTACATTTGTTTATAGAGGAATCTAATGCCATCATTCAGCTTGTCACTCTTAATATTTCTCACAAAGGGTCTGTTTGATTCTAAATTTTGAAAAATCACTGAATTTTGTTTCAGTAATTAAGTAATTTTTGAGGTTTGAGTCGATTAAATGATTTGTTATTGTTGACATTTTCCCTGTGTATATGATCAGCAAACAAGTTCCACACCTTCAAGACAATTAAGTGTGTGGCATTCAGTAACGTACGTAAAGTAGCTAAGTCCGTACCATATTCCTCTTAAATAGGAAATTTGGTATTTTTAAATCCCAACAGGATTTAACTTTGTGGCTGTCAGTTGTACATATCTTAACAATTTCTAGTCTCTTTATTTCAAACCATTGTGGCCTCTTCCTTATCAGCATCATTGTTTGTTTCAAGCAGTACTGTCCTCCTATGTTTTTGGATAGTCTCACCTCACCCTTAACAGCAAGCAGTACGTCTGTCACCACCACCAGCCCCCATGAAAGCAGTACTCATGTTAGTTCATCCAGCAGCAGAAGTGAGACAGGGCTCATAACCAGCAGTGGGAGTAACATTCCTGACGTCATCTCTTTGGACTAAAGGCGGACACACTTGATTCTGGGAATCATTCATCAAAACTACTTTTTCTTGGATGTCTAGTCCATGGATGCTAATTTTTGCAATTTAATATTTATTGAAATGTCAAATGGATTCTTTGCTTTCTGAGAGATGAACACAGATGACTCCAGCAAGAACCAGATGACATGCAAGGACTTTTCTTACGCTGTACACTGAACATCAGATATATTTCCTCTACAGCAGTGTCTTCTGGAACAGTGGATTTCAGTTTCTACCTTACTGGATGGATTCTACAAACCAGTTAATCTTTTGTTACAATAAACAGCAATAAAATTATGTAAATAGTTAAACTTTTGTAATTAAAGATGTAATCACTGATCTAGAATAACAGCAACTTCTGTTTAATATGAAGGAAAATAGGTGGGAAGAAGTCGTGTTTCCTGAATGAATACTTTCTATAGAGATTTGTTCTATTTTGTTGAAGTAATGAATTTTCAGTAACTGGCCAGAACCTGTGTTCTACTTTTCTTCTTTCAGTTCTGTGTTCTTCATGATCCCATCAAAGAAAATTTTCTCCTGTCCTTAAGCATTCACACTGTTTGCTGATATATGCAGAGGAAGTGCCGGGATTTGGTCGCTCTTTTAGTGATTATGTTTAAGAACATGACACAGATTTTATTCTGATATAATGTGTTTTTGTTTTTTTTGTTTTGTTTTGTTGGGTTTTTTTGTTACCTTATTCTAGAATTTTCTAAAAATTCAAAAATTCAAGACTTTTTTTTTTTTTTTTTTTTTTTTAAGAAAGAAACTCTAGAGCCTTTAAATGAAATGTGCTTGAGTTACCTGGTAGAATTTTCTTTATGATGTCCAGAGATAACATAATAGTTGGGAAGCACCAGAACATATTTAGGAGAGGTGGAAATAACTATGTTCTTCCTGAGAATTTAAGGGGTTTCATGTATTTTATTGACTAGTACAGTATACTATCTTGGGTGTAACTTTTTGCCTTTGAATGGCATTAATAAATTATATTTAGGGATTCTGATTATAACTCTTACCAGTGTGATTTCAAATTTACCAGTTATTTTCAAGTTTAAAGAAAAGTCAGTAGTAAATGATGGATGGTACCAGATCTCATTTTCCTAACTTTTTTAAAAGAATTTTTTTTTTTTTTTAATGAAAACATGCACCATGCACATACACAAATTAGGGATATTTAAAGTGACGTGCTCCAAAGCCCCAGTTAATGCTGCCTTTAAAACACCCCTCTCGTGTGGCTATGGTGGGTGCACTTATCACTTGTTTCACTTGGATTTTTTAATACTTTTTAGTTCTCAACAATTTAGTATTTTCCTGATGCCCAGTGGTCTACCTGTGCTGTCTATATATTTTTTTAGCTTTTTATTTTTTATTTTTAGTGGCTATTATTAATTTCTCAAACAAGTCCCAATGTAAGGACTGTGCTCTGTACAACAGGGACGTGTCATTTACTTCAGAACTGCTGCAGCTCTAGAAAGCTGGCTTGTCCCTGGTTGGCATTTTACCTTCTCAAGTTTCCATGGCCTTTGTGTGATTTTTGTACAGGTGCCTGTGTAGTTGTCCATGTTGTCCCTTCTTTGCCTTCAGCACCTCATACTCGTTGATCTTTCCTTTTGATAGGGCTTTCAAGTCATCAAAGGTAGGGAAAGCAAAGCAAGCCCCTGTGGTCACTGTGCTCACTGTACTGTGTCCCCTGGTTGGCTTTACCTTTTTAGCCAGCCCAGATAGAAGATTTCTTCCTCTAGGATTTTATGTTGTGGCTGTAAGTACAGAGGCGGTTTCTGTTGCCTATGTAATAAGAAAAAACAACTTGGCTTCTGTGCTATAATTTGTTAATAAAAGAAGTGATTCAGAGTTGTCATCATTTTGTTCACCCAGTTGAGTCTCAAAGACTCGTTACTAGGAATCAATGAAGTCTTATAAGTAATGAAAATGGTAATAGAAATTATTTACTTAGATCTCATAATAGATACCTCTGTTTTTGTAGTTGTAGTACATTTGCCACTTTCACATGAACAGTTTTAGTGTTCATTTTGTGTTTAATGAAATTAGCACCTGAGAAAATAGTTAAAATAGACTTATGATCTTAATATTAAATTTTCAGGTGTCTGTGAAGGTCCATACTTTCCTTTCTGCACTTCTCTCTGGTTACTTGGTGGTAGCAAAGCCCCTCTTTCCATAATGTCACATTTTAATGACAATCCCGACCTCTTAGCAGAGTCTTGCTAATGCAGACTTATGTGTAACCAGATAGATTAGAAGAGGTCATCTTGCTGTTACTTAGATGTCAGCCACCTGCCAACGTCTCGGATATCTCTCCTAAGGAATTGTGAATGTTTACAGTCCCTTGGCCAACCTCCATTTTCAACTTTTCATGTTGCTTTAGTAATCCCAGGCACTGTAGCTGCTGCACAGAGCTCTGGTCATTAAGGACTGCTTTTAACAGCTAGCTCTCTGACTCACAGATGAGTTAATTTCAGATTTTACTTCCTTTTCTGCCTCATACTTGATATGTGCCCTAGGGTGAGTCTAATGGCCAAATGAAATAGGACAGGTGAGTTTAGTTATATGGCCTTTTATTTCATTTGTTGTAGAGCGCTGTAATGAACACGTGATGCATAGGTAAGAGGTAGTGAATGTAATCCAGTTGATCGTAACTTCATGTCAAACAAGATTTCATTAGAGTAGACTAAATGAATTTGAAGGGAAAGTGTTGAGTTTTAAACAAAGTGCTGAATGGAGTTAAACTAAATCTATTTTTACTTTAATATGCCTTCAATCAGTCCTGCACACTTACCTTGTCTTTTGCCAATAAAGTATTCATTAGTTGCATTTGTGTTTTAAAGTAAGGCTGGTTTTCACAATAACTTTTTTAGTTTTCAGGTACGCTTTTTCAGTTGCCTTTGCTTGATTATTTACAAGGAAAAGTATTTTTTTTTCCTGCAGGTTTGTATCCACTTCTATGGAAATTCATAATTTATTTTCCACCTCTTTTCATCTTAAAAATAAAAATCAGTGCCCATTTGATTTGAGTCTGACATTGATTTTAGTAGCTCTGGGTCCAGGTAGTGTAGAAGTTCAGAGTTGCCATTTGGAGGGCACTTGATTGCTGAGCCTGGCTCACTATCTCTCGCTACACTTCATGTATTACAATTCAATGTGTGGGGAAGATTTGAGTGATTTCCCTGCTTTTTTAGAGACTGGTGCTCTTAGTGAGTGGCTGGTTTGTATCTTGCTTTTGTGAGGAGCTTTACAAAAGCAGCGAATAAAGCATAATCAGAACACTTGCCCATTCACTCCTTCCATGAGCAGTGATTTTTGTTTGTCAGTAATGTATGTTCATTGCAGAGAGTTGAAGCAAAGGAGAAAAATAAGGAAAAGTAACAGTCATCTCTGGTATCTCCAGGGGGAGAGAAGCTTCACTTTCACTATTTTTTTGCACATCATACACATCAGCAAATAGCATAAAAAGATTGTGTAGCTACTTTTTCCAAGAACTAATTTTTTTTTTTTTCAGGTATTGAGTCTTTGTTTTGTTATGTGCACATTTGTGTGAAGGCCAAAAGAGGGCCTTGGGTCCTTTGGAGCTGGGACTACAAATCAAGATTGAGCCACCTGATATGGGTTGTGGGAACTGAACCCAGGTCCTCTGGTAGAATAATGTGTGCTCTTAACCTCTGAGCCATCTTTTCAGCCCCAGCCTTTCAATTTTAAATACAGAGTTGCTTCATGTGTGTGAGATTGAGATTGATCCACAAATGCCCTAGTCTTATAAAGCGGCATCGTATTTGCATAATATTGACTGTTAAATCATCTTTAATATATTGCCTAATACAAATACTATGTAGGTGGGTGTTACCCTACTTATTCAGGGAAAAGAAGTCTGTTCTCAAAGTACAGCCCTCTCCCTGGCAGTAGAACTCTGCAGTTGATTCTATTCATGGATACAAGATGTATGGACATGGAGAGTTGACCACACTTGTCTGGCAAAATTACTGTGTGTGGATACCCAGCTGGCTTTTTACATAGTTTTACTCCCCTCAGACTGAATTTTGGATTTTGTTTTGTTTTGAACCATTTGTGCTTAAGATGGCATCCCCTCTTTTAGGTTCCATTCACCTTTTTGAGCTCCTAATGCCAATAGGGTTTGCTGAGTCAAAGGCAATTCAACACAACCTGAAAAGATGCTAAAACAGTAAGATCATCTGCATTTCTCTTTGAGTTCTTTTAAATGTATCCATTTATTGTGTCTAAATGAATACATATGCCACAACAGGTGTGTGGTCAGGACAACCTGTAGGAGTCAGTTTTCTTGCCATCATGAGTGTACCAGGTATCAAACAGGTTGTTAGATTAGGTAGCAAACATCTTTGCCCTTTGAGTCCTCAATGTAGTTACTCTGTTGCCAATCAAGTCCTGGTAGAAGACCAGCTGCCTCTTTGGGGAAAGAAAATAGTGCTGGCTGGGTACGGTTTGTTTCTGGAATCCTTGTAGTACAAGCAGAAGCAGGTGGATCTGAGCTTGAAACCAGCCTTAAACTACAGAGTGAAAGTGAAGCCAAAAAGCTTACTGTGTTGAGATGTCCAAGGTATAGCATTCTGATAGGCATGCACTTTCTCAGACTGCTTTTTTTTTTTTTTTTTTTTTTTTTGGTGAATGGCTTTTAAAGCTTTTGTTTTACTAAAATTGAACTGTTAAGATGCTGGCTTAAAAGGGTTTATAATCCAATTTGAAAAATTAAGATTTCTTAGTAATTGTGCTGAAAACTTAAAACTAGTATGTCATTCCTTGACAAGTGAAACAGATACTGGCATATTTTCTGACACAGGATGAATACTGACCTAAACCAACTGGAAAAAAAAAAAAAATCCTTGCTCTCGACTAAGGTGAGACTAATTTGTGGTGTTTAGGAGACTAGAGTAGAACTGTAGACAATTTTAAGAACTGGTTTCAGATGATGCAAGTTCTCATCCTGCTCCTGTCACTGGGAGGATTATGCTACTGTTGAAAACCACAATGCAAGTCATGTAGGGGAGACAGTTCAGTCATGAGATACTTAGGAAGAACTGCCAGGCCCTTCCCTGTTATTTCTGCAGTTAAGTGCAAATTGCCTTGTTGCCCATTTTGCTTTGTCTCTGTAGTGTGCACATTGTACTCAGTCATAGTTGCCCATTCCCTCCTTAACCAGCCTTGTTTCCATCTCATTTCACTGCTTCATGGTACCAAGCAGTACCACCTAGGGTCCTGCAACCCTACAGTTTATTCACTGGTGTATTTGTCAGAATAGTTGCTGCCCTTTTGCTATTGTAAAAAGTCTGCCAGGAGGGATAACTTGAGTGGCCTTTTGAAATAGCACTGGAGAGCTTCCTATTAGTTACTTTCTGTTGACTTTGTTAAAGGACCCCATCAGAAAGCAAAAAAAGGATTTATTTTGCTTTTAAGTTCCAGAAGAAAGAGAGAGATCATAGTCATGAAGTCATGGCTGACTACATTTCATCTGAGCACAAGAAGGAGAAAGAACTTCAGGAAGTTGGGCCAGGCTGTGAAACCTCAAAGCTGGCAATTAATGTTCTTCCTCTAGTTGGGTTTTGTTGTTTTTCTCACTAGTTCTGGTGCAGAAACTCCAACACTGAGCTACACACTCTTACTTCCCAATCGTAAGGAAGCATTTCCTTAGAATCGTCATTCTGTTTATATCTTGTTAATGGTGATTATTTGTTAGCCACATACAGCCTCTGCAAGCTTCCGACAGCATGATGGTATTGCTTGTATCCTACAGTAACATGGTATGCCATGCATGGTGGATATTCCCTAAGTATTTGTTAATGAAGAAACAGTGACAGCCATTTGCAAGTGGCTTGTTTTGAGGATGGAAATGTAATGCCTGTTGAAAATTCCAGTGACAGCAGTAGAGAAAAGAAAAAACGTTTAGGGTGGGTGGCAGAAGTAATAGATGTGGGTAGTTGGAAGGAAGGTAGCAGGTATAAATATACTTTATTTTTAGTC